ACTAAGTAACAGATCTGTCCTAGAGAAGATGAAACTAAATTTCTCCTTGGAGACAAGGAACTTTTTAAAAAAATAATTTTATTTATTTATTTTTTTGCATTGGTATATATTGTTGTTGTTGTTATGTGTGTCGAGTCGCTTGCAACTCATAACAACCCTATGGCCAAGAGTCCTAAATGCTGCTCTATCCTGTGGCAACCTCGTCATCTCTGACACACTCACTCCCACCACCCCAATCACAGAATCAATCCATCTCATCGAGGGTCTTCGTCTCCTGTGCTGTCCCTCCACTCTCAAAAATATGGAATGTTTCACGAATTTGCAGGTCATCCTTGTGCAGAGGCCATGTTAATCTTCTCTGTATCCTTCCAATTTTAGTATATGTGCTGTTCAAATATACACAGCAAAATATACATCAGTCCAACAATTGCTACATGTGTCATTTAGTGATACTAATAGCATTCTTTGAGTCCTGCATTCATTCTTATCTTTCTTTTCTGAATTATTAAGGAAGAATTAAAAATGAATCATTAACATATTATCATTGCCTCTTAAGGATCCTATTTAAAAATCCATATGCTATCATCAATTTTATCCCTTATAGATAGCTCTTGAAAGTGGATACTACTGCTTGAGACAGGGAAGGATTTTGAGGCTCTGTTGCTTGTATTATGGACATATAGCTAGGAAGGACCAGTCTTTGGAGAAGGAAGGACATTATGCTTGAAAGGATGGAGGGAAAGCACAGGAAAGGAAGGCCCAGGATGAGATGATTGACCCAATAACTGGAGCAATGAGGGCAAGTGTGCCAGAGACAGTGCGATTGACTCAGGATATTGCAGGGTTCAGAGCTATTTTGCATAGGGTCGCTATGAGTCATAGTTGACTTGATGACACATAACAACAGCTGCCTAGAAGTTTCTGTAGCAGAAGTTTAATTTACGCCCTAAACAGAAGAAAAAGAATCAATGTAGAGCATTATATATTGCCTTTCTGAGACATGAGTTTTGAACAATCAATTGATGGTTAGGCTGAAAATGTTTGTGTAACAGAGAAGACACTATATCCCTATGGCTTAACCACTTCGGTAGTTGTTGGTGAACTTCCCACCACCCCCCTGTCTATCTCTGCCTGAGGAACCAAAGTCACATTCGTTTCTTTGAGTCTATTCCTCTTCCTAGTCTCCCCATGTATTCTAGATTAGAACTGCTCCGTAAGATTAAGTTGGTTGTTGTTGTTGTTGTTAAGTGCTGTTGAGTCACAGGTGACTCATAGCGACCCTATGAACAAAAGTCCTTGACACTTGTGTGACTTTAATCCTTTCTCCAGGTTCACAGTATTTCCAGAGGCAAGCTAATATGGAAGTTGATGCCACTCCTGCTTCCAAGCTTGTTTTAATCGAGGAGCTCCACCAAATACTGTCCACCATGGGTAACCGTTATCCCATTTGACGCGTAAGTGTCAGAGTGTTCAGCTTCACAGCAACCACAAGTTTTGTGTAAATTAAGTTGATTATAATCTTAATTACAGAAAGACAGCTCTAATGCCCTACATGGGTAGGAAGTTCTGCTGCCAAATCAAAGGTGGATGGTTCAAACCACCAGTTCCATGGGAAAAACATGGGCAGTCTCTTTCCATTCCATTTACAACCTGCTGAAAGGGCAGCTCTGAGTTGGTTCTAACTGCATGGCAATGAGTTGAGTTGATGAACGTTGGTGGAGAGGAAGCCCTGGTAGTGGAGTTCATAGGGAGATACATCACAAGCACAAAGTCTACACCTCTCTGTGGATTTGAATCCACCAGTGGCTCTACGGGGGCTGGGGAAGATAATCTCTTCTGTGTGAAGAAACAATGGAAGGTCAACTATACTCTTCTAACTTGATAGCATGAGTTTTGAATTTCAATCTTACTGAAAGCAGTTCTCCAGGGCTGAGTTTTCATGATTTGTGGGTATTATCCATTAGCCTTTATGTCAGGTATTATTGTTGTTACATCGCATCGGTCACAGACAACTCAGCTGACCCTCCAGCAGGTTTTCATAGGCCCTAAGTTGCACCAGAGGAGACGGCTCAACTTTCTTTCTTGGGTCTGTTGGTTGGTGTGAAGTACCTGTCTTTAGTTTGTCAGTGCAACTCTTTACCCACTAGACTACTGTACAGTGTAAGCCGTTAGCACTCTCCGAGGCCTCCATTCACTTTATTATTATTATTAT